CACTAGTGGTTGGTATGTAAATTTAAATAATAGCTGTATTGTATTCCTTGTTGTTGTTGTTATGTGCCATGGAGTTGGTTCCAACTCATAGCAACCCTGTACAGTGTTTCTGAAATTATAAATCTTTACAAGAGCAGGAAGCCTCATCTTTCTCCCATGGAACAACTGGTAGTTTCGAACTACTTATCATGAGATTATCAGCCCGATTCGTAACCACTATGCTACCAGAGGCATATGGATATTATCCTGTGACAGACAGTGTTGTATTTCAAGACAGATCTTGATATGTTCTTTTTGTTGATGAATGCAATGCCATTCATCTTCAATTTGTCATTTCCAAATAGCAAACCATGTGATTGTCAGATTCAAAGCGGTATTACCAGTCCAGATGCCTAGGATATCGATATTTAGATGTTTCATTTCATTTTTGACAATTTCTAATTTTCCTACATTCATACTTCATGCATCCCATATCCCAATTATTAATGGGTGTTGACAACTGTTTCTCTTCATTTTGAGTTGTGCCCCATCCACAAATGAAGGTCACAAAGACTTTACTCCATTGGTGTCTTTGCGGTCAACTAGACTTTGAAGAGGCAGCTCTTCCCCGGTCGTATTTTTAGTGCCTTCCAATCCAAGGTGCTCATCTTCCAGCACTATGTCTGACAATATTCTGGTGTTCTTCATCATATTTCAATACTCAATATTCTGGTGCTGACAGTGTCCCACTGCTGTTCATAAAGTTTTTGGTGACAAAATATTTGAAGGTAGTTCTCCTCTCCTTCTTTCTAGTTTGTCTTCATCTGGAAGTTCAACTGACTCCTGTCCACCATGGTTAATCCTGTTGATATTTTAAATCCCTGTGGCATAGCTTCCAGAATCACAGCAACATGCAAGCCACCACAGCACAACAAACTGACAGACAAGTAGTGGCATTTGTAAATAGAATTTTACTTCTTCACTTCCAGTTTGGATGCCTTTAATTTCTCTTTCTTGACTTATAGCTCTGTCTAAGGCTTCCAATACATTATTGAATAGGAATAGCAATAAAGGATATCCTTATGTGGTTCCTGTTTGCAAAGGGAATACTTTCAGTTTCTCTCCATTGAGGGTGATGTTGGCTGTTGGTTTTGTATGTATGCTTAGTAATGTAGTGGTTATGAGTTGTGCTGCTAGACTCAGGGTCAGCAGTTTGAAATAACCAGCTGTTCCACAGGAGAAAGATGAGGCTTTCTGCTCCTGTAAAGATTTATAGCCTGGTAAACCCTATACAGGGCCGCTATGAATCAGAATTGACTCTGCGGCACAGAACCAGCAATTATGTTGAAGAATTTCTCTTCAATTCATACCTTGTTGAGGCATGGGTGTTGTATTTTGTCAAATGCCTTTTCTGCACCAATAAATATGATCATGTGGTTCTTTTCCTTTTTTTAAAAAAATTATATGGTGTATTATGTTGATTGTTTTTCTAGTATTAAACCATCCTTGTATACCTTACATGAATCCCTCTTGGGTATGAGTTTCTAAAAAATTTTTATATTTGTGAATGCTGTTGGCTAACATTTTGTTGAGATTTTTTGCACCTGTTTGCAGGAGGGATATTAGTCTATAATTTTCTTTCCCAGTGACGTCCTTCCCTGGTTTTGTTATGAATGTTATGCTTTCTTCATAAAATGTTTTAGGAAGTTTTCCATCCTTCTCTA